TACTAAGAAAGCTATTTAAACATAAATAAATAAATAAAAATTTAACACATTTTTAGAAAATTTTCACCAAAATGATAAAAAATGAAACAGTTTGTGTGTTGAGAGGGATAAATGTCATTATATGCTGATTGAAAAATAAAAGATTATATGATGCTTAGTATTCCTCTAAGCTTTTCTCTGAAAAAAAAATTTTTAATTTTAATTCTTTTTTTTGAGGCAGCCTGAAATGTAGGGACACAAAAATTAATAAACTGAAGTCACTCAGGAGAAGAGATTATAGGCAAATACATGCCTTTCAGAGCTAGTTGTAGAAATAAAGAGGAGATTCGATACTCTGCAGGGACAAAAGTGGAAGTGGCCAACTCAACCTGAGGTGGAGGAATGCTTCCTAGAGAAGTGATATTACTACTTGAATCCTGAGGGATGAGTGGGAGTCGGCCTGGCTAGGAAGCAAGAAAGACCATTCTGAACAGGGACGGTATCATGTGTATTCCACAGGCACGCGGAATATTATGGTAAATCTGAGATGGTTCACTTTATGTTGAACACGGAAGTAGGGCATTTGAGAAAAGCAGTTGATAGTGGCTTGAAAGGAGGACCCCTCTCTGTTCCCTGTCATGTCTTTCCAACTTTTCTTTTCTCTCCAGTTGAGATACAGGACAGATCAACAAGTCCATTGATCTAAGCAGATGTCTAGTAATGTGCCCATTTTACAGCTGAGGAAACTGATGCTCAATGAAATTAATTAACCTGCCCAAATTCCTCTCTCTCTCTCTTATTTCTCTTAAAACTGTGTTGGATAACCAAAACATATGCCTTCTATATTCTTAGGTGATTTAAAACTCTTATTTATTAGATCAAGAATGATCTTATTCATTAGATCAATAGGGATCTTTTGAAAAGTCTATGAGATTGGATTTTTTTATGACATTAAAAAAATCTTTATGAGTCAATGATGCCATTCTTTTTTTTTTCTATTTTTAAGACATCCAAAGAAACTGAGTTTTTTAAAATTAAATTTTATTTTATTTCAAAGCATTATGGGGGTACAAACATTTTGGTTACATAAATTGCTTTCAGACAGTATAAGTCAAAGATAGAAATGTGCTCATCACCCAGATAGTGTGCATTGTACCTATTAGGTGTGAATTTACTTATCCCCTCCTCCCCCCTCCAACCTGCTTGATTTCTAATGAGTTTTATTTCCATATGTGCACATAAGTGTTGTTTGTTTAGGTCCAATTTAATGGTGAGTACATGTAATGTTTGTTTTTCCATTCTTATGATACTTCACTTAGAAGAAGGAATGGTCTCCAGTTCCATCCAGGTTAACACAAGAGGTATTCACCATTTTTTATGGCTGAGTAGTACTCTATAGTATACATATATACCACATTTTATTAATCCACTCATGTATTGACGGGCACTTGGATTGTAGCCACATCTTTGCAATTGTGAATTGTGCTGCTATAAATATTTGGGTGCAGGTGTCTTTGTGAGTTTTGTTTTGTTTGTTTTTTTAAGTTTTATTGAGGCCAAGTGTGGTGGCTCACACCTGTAATCCTAGCACTTTGGGAGGCTGAGGTGGGAAGATTGCTTGGTCAGGAGTTCTAGACCAGCCTGAGCAACATTGTGAGACCCTGTTTCTGCAAAAAAAATAGAAAAATTATCTGAGTGTAGTCCTAGCTACTCAGGAGGCTGAGGCAGGAGGATCTTTTGAGCCCAGGAATTTGAGGTTGCAGTGAGCTATGATCATGCCACTGCCCTCATGCCTTGACAACAAAGTGAGACCTATCTCCAAAAAAAAAAAAAAGCTTTATTAAGATATAAATTCACATTCCATACCATTCAGCCATTTAAGGTGTACAATTCAAAGGCTTTTAGGATATTCACAGAGTTGTGCATCTATCACCACAATTGCTTTAGAATATTTTCATTTTCTTTTTGAGAAATGAAAAAAAGAATTTTTATTTCTTTTGTACCCCTAAGCCATCACCCCCATTTCCCAGCTCTAGGCAATCACTAATCTACTTTTTGTCTCTATAGATCTATCTCTTCTGGACATTTCACATAAATGGAATCATACAATATGGTAACTTTTGTGATTAACTTTCACTTATGTTTTCAAGGTTCATATATGTTGTGATATATAGCAGTACTTCATAATATCTTATTACCAAATAATATTCCATTGTATGGATATATACCACATTTTATTTATTCATCAACAGTCCATGGACATTGGGTTATTTCCACTTTTTGGCTAATATAAATAATGGTGCCATTCTGCTGCTGTATTGGGTTATTTTTTTATTGTACTAGCTTATGAATGTGATTAGTTTTGCAAATCTGTACTTAAAAAATATTTGTCACCAAGGTGCTTGTTTCTGGGTGAGTCTATCATCTCCTACAGTGTAGATCAAGACAGGCATGGGTAGAGGTAGATATGGGTGTTTTTGGTATATATGGGTAATATTATGTAACCTGGAGGGGAAAGCCTCAATTATGATAGTTGTGGAAAATCATTCTCTAGTGGTTTCTAAATGGGACCATGGTCCATTCCAACCACATGGTTTTGAATAAGAAGACAGCTGAGGAGAGAACTTATACCCTAGCCAGATGGGTATGATTTTTCCAAAGTCTTTTCCTGCTGGATTTAACTTTCTAAGAAAGGATGCAATCGGGACAAATAAATGACTATAAAGTACAAAACAAAAGTACTTTGAAGAAATCTTGAGAAGTCTCTTCCTCAGTGAAAGGAGGACAGGAAACTTTTCGATTTAATCTTACAGGACATTGCAATTCGAAGACCATTAAATTGTATATAACGGACAATCCCTCTTTAGCCAGACAGAGAAGTTTCCTGATTGTACTCTTGAGATCCTATAAAGCGTTTTTAAGGCTGCTGTTAGAGAATTGTGAATTGGTAGTTTTTCAAATAAGTTCCTCCAGACCTCAGTCTGGTCTAAAGTTTCCTGTTTTTACAATTAACTCCTCATGTTTCTTTGTTGAATATGTGTGTGTATATGTGTATGTGTAAAACCTAAAGATAGACCAGGAAGCATCTGGGACCATCTGGCTCTAGAGGGGAATCCAGATTTCTGTGAGGGCTGCGTACTAAATGTAAATTGGATAAACAATGCTATCTTAATGTACGACTCCTGTGATAACCCGTCAGTCATCACTCCAAAATGCCCTTAACCTGCTGAGCTTGGTGTTAATACTTGATGGGTTTTTTTCGTCTGTGAATGTAGCAGGTTGGTCTGTTTTAGGATAACTCCAAGAATAGGCCTAAATACTTCCATGTTGTTTTGTCAAGCTTCTAAGGGATTACAAAGACAAGTGGAGACTTCAGGCACTGCGCTGCTCCTAAAAGCAATGCTTTCTTCTTGGTGGCCACTCTCCTTTGTCTGCATTTCATTCACCAAATAAAGAGCTGCAGTTAAGAAAAAGTCATCAGGAGTAGAAGGAAAAGATCGTTAGCAACCAGGATGACTCAAGGCTGTATACCGGCTTGTGTATAGGGGAATGCAAGGTTCTACTCTGTATACCATCTAGCGAAGTGCCACAAGGATGTATCTTAATTTTACCTAAGATGATTTTAGAAAGGGATTTCTACTTCCCAAAGCAAAATCCTTTTTCCTGTAACTGAAGTAGGAGAGGTTACATCTCAAGTTTTTCCTAAAGATTCTTCATTTAGAGGGAATAATGATAAAAACAACATCGATAACATTTATAGAGCACTTACTATAAACTGTCAATTTAACTCTATTATTAGCCCTGCTTTATACATAAAAAAACAGAAGCAGGGAGAGGCTCAGTAACTTGCCTAGACTCACATAGCTGGTAAGAATCGGAACCAAGCAGTTAAGACTTCAGAGCCCAGGCTCTCAGCTACCTAATTAAGAAATTGTGCTGTTTCTTAATTCCGTGTTATGACAAAAACGTTTTTACTGCTAATTTAAAATAAATAAGTACTCAAAGTAGGTGTTTATGCAAATGTAAACAGCACATTGTAAAACCGTAATATCATATTTTCTCAAAAAAAGATTGTGTTTCACATGCCCATTTTATCCCAGAACAAGGTCTTGCTTTTCCCTTTGAAATGAGGAGGAATAACATTTGATTTTGCTAGGGAACTGTGAAAATTATTTTGAGGTTCCAGTCATGCATAGCATAGATTTATGACAAATATGTAATCTGTTTATTTGTCACCCAACTTGGATAACTTCCAAATGTTTCCTCTTTGTAGCTCTTGATTTTGTTTGGATTGTTTTCAATGACCAGATAGTCAAGAAACAATGTCTGAATCGCGTTCCCTCCAGTCAGGGAATACCAACATGTTGAAAGACAGCTTTGGTTATTTAGAATCCTACTACATTTCACTTGTGACTTTGAAGAATAGTCATGCTTTAGTGGACTGGATTTAAAAAAAAAAAAAAAAAGAGAAGGAGAAGAAAAAAAAAATCAAGTTGTGGCTCAAGTCTCTCTGGCATTTGCTGCAGTGAGTTTTCCCATTCCATTTTGCTGGAAGAAAGCATGCTTAAGAGATCAAACTGTCCGAAAAAGGCTGTCTGCATCCCTCATGTTTAAGAGAGAAGGATTTCGTTCCCCTTCCTTCACACATCAAAGAAGGCACTCCGGGAGGAAATAAACCATAATTAGGCCTGAGCGAGCAGACAGACCCCCTTCCTCTGCCCTCCCCATCCCCGCCCCCCAGGCCCTGGCAACCGTCCTGGGCGCGAGCGAGGAGCGGGTCACCGCAGCAGCTGCAGAGAGCGCGCGTTCACGGTCGCGCCCGCCGCCAGGATCTGGGCGGCGGCGGGGCTAGCCCAGGGGCGCGCTCGCTCGGGAGCGCGCTCATGCAGCGGTTTTCTTCTCCCACAATCCAGAGGCAGGGGCGCGGGAGGGGCGGGGAGCCGGCGGAAGGATATCGGCGCGGAGGGAGCAGCGCGCTCCCTTTGACGGCGGGCTGGCGGCGCCGGTGGGCGGTGAGCGGTGGGGTGTGATGCGGCACTGCGGTTGTGAGGCCGTTACTCCGGCTCCTCCAGATAGGGCGGAGGAGGAGGCTGGAGCGCGGCGGTGATTTTTGTGCCAGGGCTTCCCAGAGGCGCGCTGAAAAGGCTGGCGAGGCTCTAGAAGCTGGGGGCTTAGGGACACACATTCAGGCCCCCACCCCCTGGGAGGGGAAGGGGGCTGGAGCCAGACTTGGGGGCTGTGGAGCGATGGTGCCTGGCCGGGGGAAAGGGGCGAGCCCTGCGTGTCCGTGGTGAGGGGCTGCGGGCAGGGGAGGCTCCGCGGGTCGTAGGGGCTCCATGCCCATTGGTGGGTGGAACGTGTAGAGCGGAACGCAAGGTCGAGCCTGGCGGCCCCTCGAATCCTGAACGTGGTGTCTAACGTGGTGTTTCATTTAGCCCGCGTTGGGATTAATTCATTGGGGGTAGTTTCTCTGGTCTGGCTCCTCCAGGAGCTGGGCAACCTTGACGGGCTTTTTGTCTTGTGCTCCAGCCCCCTTTCCCTTCCTCCTCCTCCAGATGCCTTTTCTCTGCCACTCCTCGCCCGGTACAGACATTTCCAGTGAAGGCTGCCGCTCGTGGTGGCCGTCGAAGCCACTTCTCGGGATTTCGGCTGGTTTCCCTCTGGAGTGTTTTTTGAGGAGAGAGAGTTTTCCCCTCCTCCACGATGGGTTTTTCCTCCCTTGCCAAAATGGACTTTCATTGATTTCTACTTACTTCTTCAACGTTTAGTGACCAGTTCCCGAGGCGTATTTTTGTGGTAGTTCCTTTTTTCAAACACAGTCTGTAAAATGGAGAACGAGGTTTTTACTCCCCTTCTGGAGCAGTTCATGACCAGCCCCTTGGTCACTTGGGTAAGTGGGTGTCCTTTATTGTATATTTTGCTGCATTATTTGTGGGTGCAGAGATGGAAGTGGGCGTTCATGTCTTGGGGATCCTTCTGTTCTAGGTTAAAACGTTTGGACCTCTGGCTGCAGGAAATGGGACCAACCTGGATGAATATGTGGCTTTGGTGGATGGGGTATTCTTGAACCAGGTCATGCTCCAAATGTAAGTTCTTTCTTTTCTAGGTAACTTGTTTTCTTTTAAAAATAGCATGCGGTGAACTTTGAGACATTATGTTTTAAGCCTCTAATTTGGTTTTTTGGCCAGAAAAATTCAGGTGGCTTTAGAATTGGATCTTGAAAGGAATAATAATCTTACATGCCCAGCCCATATATCACAACACAGTAATTTTACCGGTTAAAATCGTGAAACTTCAATTTTTCATTCTGCCAGCTATGTATTGTGACTTATTGTCTTCAGTGCTGAAATCCAAACCACATTGTGTCTTCTTTGATAATTTGGTAAAATAAGAGAGATTGAGAAATCTGGTTTCCTCAGAGGGGAAAAAAGACTTGTCTGTGAAGTTACGTGCATTTGATGCAGAAATGTTTTTTTTTTTTTTTTTTATTAACCTCTGTATCTGAAAATAAATGGCTCAAATTTTGAAACAGATTTCAGGAGAGTATTTCAAACAACAGTTCTGATTGGTGAGGACTCTTGCTGTAGCAAGTAATTTAAATGCCTATAATAACTGAAGTCTAATTAGATGATCTATTGTGTCAATTATTAGATTGCTTAATGTTTTAGAGATCATTTTAAGGTATTCATAGAAGTTTTAAAATGCAAGTAAGTGAAGTCTTGGTGACACCTAGGTGATTTAATAGGCAAATCTTTGTCTTTTATGTTTATAATACTGGGTTGGAAATATGTTTTTGAGATAGGAATTGAATTTTGAAGGCATATTGGTAGCTGGATTAGTAAAAAACTCCATTTTTATCATTACAGGTATTACAGCATACTTGCATTCTAATATTTCAGTTGTGCTCAATATAATGTATATTTAGCCTTATTTCTCTTGAATAGAATCTGATTACAAGAGTGGTTTGGAACCTTTGATTTGAAGACCTTGTCTTTTATATATGTGGGAAATTGGTACATTATTAATAAGTAGTCGTTACTAGAGAGTAAGTCTATTCTGCTCTGATAATCTTACATATATCATTTTTGTATTTTATTGGAAATTATTTTTCTGTTTAAAAAAGGGTGGAAGTCTAATCCTTAAGTAACTGTGCCAGTGTTAACTTCTCTGTGTGCTCAAAGACATGTGTAGTCTCTATGCTCAAAAGATTTGTGTGCTGTTTTTCATGTGTGTTGATCCTACAGAGAAGTATTATGAATACTATACATTTTCTAAATTGTTTTATTTGCATAGGCACCTAAAGAAATGTATGTAATTGAAATGCATATGTATTTTTTTCCTTAAGAAAGGAAAAAAGAGTGTAGACATTAATTTTTCCAGGGTTAGTAAATATATTTTTGACAGCTGTACCATGGAATTGTTTTTTATCTTTGAAATACCCTACTATTTCCTAACCAAAAAGGTAGCATAATTAAACCGATTTCTATTTTAGGGAACCCACATGACAGGAAGCGTAGCCATTAGAGTACATACTCAGAACTTGTTCTCGTATATCTTTTCAGTTGCTTGTTTTTAGACAGAAAATTTTGAATTTGTGTGCTAAAAATTAGGTGTGTTCACAAAAATAGGAAAATATATTACTTAAATTTTCTACTTTAACGGTTTTTACTTGCATGATTCTTTTTCCAAAAAAATTTAGATTTTTTTTGGAGTTCTAAGTAGTTAGTTGAGGTGCTAAAACACGTTAGTTTCCACTTTGAATATAGTTTTATATTTAAAATATATATAAATATATTTTGAAAATTATGGTGTTCCAAAATAATGGTTGCCAGGTTGTTGTGTTTTTGGGGAGAGGACTTGCTCCCTTCTAAACCTCAAATCTGCTTCTGTATTTTCAGTTCCACCTCCCAGTTTCTTTAGAAGTTTTTTCAGTGTCCCAATTCTGTTCTGAATGACCTATATAAATTAAAGGGAAAAAATAAGTATGCTTTTGCCTTTTTAAAAAAATAATTTGCCAAAATAAGATCAACACATATTTATTTTAATAATTATCTGATAGAGCAACAGAATATACATTGTTTTAAAAGTTATATTTTGCTAATTTTGAAATCATTAGGATTTCTTTAAGTACTTTACTCAGGTTAATGTGTGATTTAGTGTATTCTATTAAAGTGTCAGTTGTAACTCCATACCCAGTAAGTTAACCTAAAGGTTAGCCTTAGTCTAAATTCTAGATTACATTTAGTTATAGAATTTTTAAGCAAGAACCTTTTGAAACTGTTTATATATCTTTCTTGATGTCTCTTGTCCTTGAAGTTCCATGAACTTCTTCCATCTGTGGGTTTGTAGTTTTTATCCAATTTGGAAAATTTTCAGCCGTTATTTCTACGAATATGTATGTATGTATATGTATTTATCTTCTTTCCTCCTTTTAGAAGTCCAATTACATGTATATTAGGCTGCTTGACATCTGAAAACTTACTGATGTTCAATTCAATTTTTTTGTATTTTTCTTTGTTTCATTTTGCATAGTCCATTTCGATGTCTCCAAATTCATTAATCTTCTGTGCTGTTTAATCTGCTCTTAATCCCATCCAGCATATTTTTCATTTCAGACATAGATTTATCTCTGGAAATTGTCTTTTATATCTTCCATGTCTGTATTTTTCATGCTCTGTCTTTTCTCTAGCTTCCTGGACAAATGCCATACAGTTATAATTGGCTTAATTTCCATATCTACTAATTCTATCTATGTCATTTTTGAGTTGGTTTTGAGTGATTAATATTTCTCCCCATTGTAGATTGTGTTTTCTTGCTTCTGAATGCCTGGTAAATTTTTATTTGATGTCAGGCATTTGAAAATTTACCTTGTTGGCTGCTGGATATTTTTGTATTCCATTAAATATAAAAATCTTGAGCTTTGCTCTGGGATGCATTAACTTACTTGAAAACTGTTTGATCTTCTGGGGACTTGCTTTTAAATTCTGTTAGACAGTACCACTTTGTCTCAATATTGAGGCAAAACCCTTCTGAATACTCTGGCTGGTGGGAACAGGAACTCTTTAGTGTTGCTTCGTCTAATCCTTTTTGGTGGTTCTTTTCATTGTTTTTGGGTAGATTCCTCAAACTATGAACTGATAAATACTGAGCTGAAGACTTATGGGATACCCCCTGCAGATCTTTCTGTGTAGCTCTCTCCTCTCAGGTACTCTGCTCTGTGTACTTTAGCCACCTTGCTGTCTTTAGATGCAGTTCTACCTCCTTAACTTAGGGAGACCACTGTGCTCTGCCTGGGTTTCCCCCTCCCTGTTTTGTGGCTTAGAAGCTTTTTCAAGGCAGTAAGCTGGAACAGTTGTTGGATTCATGCTTGTTTCCCATCTATTAGGGATTCACTGTCCTTTGTTGCTTGATGTCCAGTGTCTTGCAAAATGTTTTTATATTTTGTCTTTTTTTCCCCTTCCAGTTGTTTCAGTCAGGAGGGTAATTTGGTCTCTGTTATTCTATCTTAGCCGGCAGTGGAAATCTGTTTATATACTTTCTTTGTTGTTTTAGAGATGGGAGTCTCACTATGTTGCCCAGGCTGAAGTGCAGTGGCCATTCACAGGTGGGATCATAGTGCACTGCAGCTCAAACACTTGGTCTCAAGCGATCCTTCTACCTCTACTTCCAGAGTAGCTGGGCCAATGGGCACTCGTCACTGTACCTGGCTGTTTATATACTTGTAATTACATTTTTGCCCTGTTAGTTTAATATTACTGCTTTAGATATGACGTAGACTTTTCTTTTCTTTTTTTTTTTTTTTTTTTGAGACAGAGTCTTGCTTTGTTGCCCAGGCTAGAGTGAGTGCCGTGGCGTCAGCCTAGCTCACAGCAACCTCAAACTCCTGGGCTCAAGCAATCCTGCTGCCTCAGCCTCCCGAGTTGCTGGGACTACAGACATGCACCACCATGACCGGCTAAGTTTTTGTATATATTTTTAGTTGGCCAATTTTAATTTCTTTCCATTTATAGTAGAGACGGGGTCTCGCTCTTGTTCAGGCTGGTTTCGAACTCCTGACCCTGAGCCATCGCCCACCTTGGCCTCTCAGAGTGCTAGGATTACAGGCGTGAGCCACCGCGCCTGGCCTGACATAGACTTTTCTTATAGGAGCCTTATTATCGCATTTTTTCACTTGAAATGTTTCTTAAGAATAAGGAAATTGATTAATTTAATGACTCTGATGTTACCGGTTTGGAACCCAGACTCCTCGAAAATGAAGAGTTGATTTCATGACACCGTTTACTGACTGATTCTGCCTTATAATTTTGGAGTCTCTTCACTGACTTGTGGATTCACTGTATGTACACATGAACCCTGGATTTCATTGAGCAGCTCCTTGAATCATTGAATCTCTGTAAGAACTTGTAACATGGCATCAGTCATCTTTAATTGATGGGAAGAGGGAAGCTAGTTAGAGATCTAGAATGATGGGCTAGCTCTTCTGCATACCACAAGACACTTTCCTATTTCAACAGAATGAAATATTTTTCTTCAGTGTCAGTTATCAGGCTTGGCGGTTTGTGGCAGTGAAGTAGAAATAATTATTTTCTTGTTTGACATGTCATTCAGTTCTGTAGCCAATTTTGAATATTACTTCCTACAAGTTGTTAAGGAATTCATGACATTGTAGTTAATTTCGTAATCATAAAATTTTAAAAGTGTGCTATTCATATTACCTAAACAGTTGAAAATATGGATATGTTAAGGTTTTAAGTACTGAGAAAATTTTAATAATATCAGAACAATATTTAGAATTACTCTCTAAGACTCAACCCCGTTAGATAGCTATAGAAATCTATACTTGAGACACTTGGTAATTATGAAATACTTGTTACAGCTTTTCTTCTCCTTTTAGAATCTTGAGTTTGAAGGGACTTCAGAAGTCATCTATGAAAATCCTTTTCAATTAAACCCCTGACACATGGTCATCCAACTTTTAAAGTATACCTAAAGAAGCCATTTATTTTATAGAGGCAGTTAACTGAGAAATGTCCCTTTGTCCCATCAACGCTTAAGATTTCAAAAATAGCTTGTGCTAATGTTATAA